CTGTCAGGGAGTTGGTACGTGTAAATACTCAATCAGACAAATGCGTACTCACAGAATTTCACTATCAACCTCAAACCATTCCTCATACATTCTGACACCTGCGAACACGAAACAAGGCTTTACAGAAGCACTGCCATCCCCGCAAATGGACTCCAGGATAGTGATGAGTTCCAGGCTGTCACTCTGCTGAAGGTAACGGCTCCTGTCTGCTGCAGCAAAAAAGTACAGCTCGCCGGAGCCTTTTCTTCCTCCACCAAGCTGCATCCCAATCTCATCGGCGTTGTGCAGATTCTCCCAAGGAATTTCGCGCTCACGAAAGATAGCCTGCAGTTTCTTGAAGTGCATGTTGACGTTTGTAAAATTGAACACACGTGCCCACTTTGGATCCAGTCCTGAAGGCCGTGCTAGCTTGCAACGAGGATGTCACCCAAGAAAGCATCCTATCCACCTCTTTGATGGCTTCTTCCCACATAGCGCCTTCACCTTCGGTAGAACTGTTTGCTTATTGAGGGGTATACTAAGATGTCCTAGAAACAGTATGTATTCCATTGAGTACCTCTTCCTGTTTAACATTGAGAAGTTGTTGCACAGCATGAGCCTCGCTACGGGACTTTGCTCAGCCTATCAATCGCTGCCATATTGCCATGTACTTCTTCGGAGCATTGAGGGCAGCAGCAGCAGCTTTTGCATGTGGATATTCGCCGCTCCAAATGCCTGCGAGAGCCTCTTCGATTATGGCCTCTTCTTCGATAGAGTCTGCTTTTTGATGTTGGGCCCTTGTACGGGGCATATTTGTTGTTATTATTTTGAGGAGGGAGAATTAAAGATAAAAAACAGCTTTTTGAGTGATTAATGAGACATTATTGGGCAAGGTATTAAGCATAGGCTTTTTGACTGAACACAGAACGAAAGAATCCTCGCACCAGAGAAACGTGCATGCTCATTGGCTGGAATTTGACGCGCATCGGAGTTGAAAGCTTCTGGGAGGCATTGTCACGCTCGTCCACTCGAGAGAGCACTGGGTGTCCATATCGTCTGTACCATGTCAATATTGTACATATTACTATTTTTCTAGAGTAGTATGCACGTGTGGCTATCTATGTATAAAGCCTCGCAGTTATCCGTCCACTAACTCAAGCTACAGACAGCCATCATTAGATACATGCGCTCTAAAAAGCAGGTATATGAATTTTCATGAGAGCACCACCTGAGCCAGGTGCACGAAACTGTGTATACTATATGCTACACATTCATTCCATATACCTGAATTTTATCAAGCCGAAAAACGGGACGGAGCTGTCTACAGAACGCCGATTTCACTTCTACTACCGATTTCACTTCTAGGTTTTCGACAGTATAACCGGCTTGACGTTCGTTCTCAACAACGCGCGCTTCAGGGAGAGGTCTGTTATTGGCGCTTCGCACTGTACTGACCTTGATCAAGGAACGATGCAAGATTGATGGAGGCGTGCAGGCGTGCCCTAGCCTATTCACCGGTACAACATTTATTGTACAATGGATAGCTTCAAGCTAGGTTGGGTCCAATCCCGCCTCCTTTGCGCTCTCTCTCTTTGTAGTCACAGCAGCCCGTCGGAGGGATAGAGCGAGAGAACTTTCATCACGCCCGTAATCCGATTTGCGAACCATGGTCCGTCGTCTTACTTGCCTCCAGATGATCGTCCCGGCGGAAGCAATTTATTAAAGGCGAATTTAACTTGGATAGGCGGACAATACCGGCTCAACAGCGAACGACCACCTCATGCAGATACATTTTCTTGTCGTTGGAGGCGGTGTCGCAGGGTACGCGTGCGCCGTCGCGCTCAGCCGGGCAGGACACCGGGTGACGCTGTTGGATTTGGAAAACGCACTTGACCTGGTGAGTCCTGAAACGCCCGGGTGTGTTTCCGCTGAAAAAGACACGTAAACCCGCGGATGTAGGCCTGGGGGCCGTACGGCATCTGCGTTCCTCCCAATTTCTCGAAGCTTTTGGTGCGATGGGGAATGGGCGACGAACTGAAGGCTTGCGGGACGGCCTTAGCCAAGATTAAAATCGCAGACTGTACGTTGAACCGCTTGCTACAGACCGGTCTGGTTATCTCAGCCCATCCTGTAGATCACACGGGAGAGGATATGGGGTTCCACAATTGGCAGAAGGAGATGCTGAAGGATGCAGGAGGAGACGTGGTCTATGCCAATGTATGTCTTCATTTATCTTTCGCAGGTCCAACCTCACTCGGCAGCTTTCATCGCCAGCTCTCCGACGTACGCAGAATCCTACACGCCCGAGCCCTGTCTCATCAAGCCGTCATCCGATCTGGAGTCAAAGTCACGTCTATCTCCGTGGCCGAAGGCTTAAAACCCTCGGCAAGATTAACTACAGGAGAAGTCATAGAAGCTGACGTGATCATTGGTGCTGATGGATCGGACAGTATGGTGCGCAGGGAGATAATTGGGCAGGAGCTTCGTGAGACGCCTCTGGGGCTTACCGTGTTCAAGTGAGTTTCAACGAAGAACAGGCGATTCGGGAGGCTAACTTGTTCATAGTGTCCGGATACCCCGCGAGAAGATGACCGCCGATCCTGAGTTGACAGCCCTGCTAGAACATGAGGTACGCAGACTCCCTCTAGCTATGCGCTCGATATACTACCAGCCACTCGCTTACTTCCTCGCCGATCCAGGAAACAGCAGTGACCTGGCTGGGTATCAGGTATTCCGCGCTGGCATATGTTGTGGTGAGTTCTTCAGTGCCATCACACAGACGCAGCTAACATTCTTTCCAGGGCAAGGCCTACAATTTCTTCGTATACACGCCTACGTCCGGTACAGAAGAGTATTGGCGCAAACCGGTGCCGAAGGAGTTTTTGTTGAAGATAATGGGCCAGAGCACACCAACGTAAGTTTGTTCACTGCTTCCGCACGGTAGACAGGTCACCGAGGTTCCTCAAGACTACAGAAGCTGGCCAACGCCGCTACGGAAATAACATGCGCACCGCTTAACGAACCTCCGGAAGTCGAGCAATGGCGCCACTCCCATGGTCGTGTCATCCTCGTCGGAGATGCAGCTCATCCATTCCCCGTGAGCGAACTCAGAAACTCTGATTCGTCTCATTCTCCGTTCCTAATCTCGAACATGCCAGCGGACAGCGACGCACGCTCCTGCGATGAACGCAGGGGACGCAGCCTTTCTGGGCATGTTGTTCGCAAACCTCACCAAGGAAGATCAGATCGACAGCTTCCTAGCGGCCTACGAGTCCTCGCGCCGTGACCGCGTCAAGCTGGTGCGACACATTGAGCTGGCGAACTTGTACCAACTGGCTATGCCTGCGGGCGTGGAGAAGGATATGCGGGATACTGCGCTCAAGGAGAAAGTCGCCGCAGGATTGGACGCGTTCGCTCAAGGAGGAGGAGACTTAGCAGCTCAACAGTGGGATGTAGGTGGTTTTTGACGAGCCTATGTTTGTGGCGACGCTAAATGAGTCTTCGTCGCTCTTAGCTGGACAAGATGCTGTTCGCGTATGACGCTGAAGATCACGCCGCAGAGTGGTGGAACGATTGGGGTCTCCTCAAGGAACGTGCCACCGACGCGGTCCGCGTGCCTAAAGCACGGATACCAGTGATGTATACCGCACAACACATCCATGCTGAGAACAGCGATTCGCAATGAGCGTTCGTATGTTGAGGCTGATTTAGGCTGCCGGTGCGCTCTTTATAACGAGTTTATGTCAGAACAATGCTTCATGCCTATGCGCAACGAATTTGACGATTGCTTCGTACATACACTTCGATCTACCACAATCATTGTTTATACCACATGTACACTAGCCACACTAGGAATTATAGGATTCAGGCTCAAATGAGCATTACACTATAGGTCAGCGCCATCGTAATGGCCAATTAGGAGTGGAGTCGGTAGCCATGGCTCCCGAGGGTGACTCTCAGCGTGGTGATGTGGCCCGACAAAAGCCACTTCAGGCAATGGGCGGCGCGCTTGGCGGTGGGGTCCAGTGGAGTATGGGCCATTGAGTGGACACGCGCACCTCGTTAAGCGAGATGAAACGGTGGTGCACGACGTCAAGTCCGTTACTTCGTCATCGCCGTGAGAAGTTGCTTTGTGGGGCGCATTCACAGAGGTGTATATAACCGACCGCAGATAGACTGGAAAGCACAATCCATTCTACCTCTCAGTCTTCAATCACTCACCTACCAAACTCGCACAAGAACTCACCATGGTTAACCCTACTGGTACGTCCAGACGCGTTTCATAGTCAACTTCGCGTACTCACTACGCGACAGAGAAAGACACCACTCGCGTTGCCGCCGGTCTGAAGGCCGCAATCCACAACCCCAACGTTAGCGAAGAGGCCAAAGAGCGCGCCGCCGACCGACTCGACCATATGGGAGGCAACGGCAGGACGCATGATCCCCATGCCGGCACCGAGGGAGAGCACGACAACCGCGTTCTGGGTGGCTACAAGGCCACATTGACGGTAAGTATCTTCACGCGATTGATGTATCTTTTCAAAGTCCTCATCGTTTCTTGCATAGAACGAACACACTTCCCCGGAGGCGAAGGCTCATGCTCGTGAGATCCTAGAGGCCCACGGGTACACCGTTGAGAGGGCGGAGGGTGTGTCCGAGAGCGAGCATGAGACACGTGTGCTCGCTGGATATAAGGCAGCTTTAAACAGTAAGCAACTCTACCACTGTTATTTGAACTACATAGACTCACAATATGATAGATCCACGAGTCTCCAATGAGGCAAAGGCTCATGCTAGAGAGTTCCTGGCGGCGCACAATGCGCTCTAGTTTACTTCACTTGCTTCCTAGGGTATCATTGCGGACTAAAGTGAGAATTGCGAATGTATTATAGTGCTATGTCTTGAATCGCATAAGATAGTTGATGAAGTGCACAAGAAAGACGTTCGAGGTCGGCTGTACTTGTGTTACGCAACGACAGTACTGGAAAGCATCTATTACCCACAGTTTCCTTGTGGAATAGGTCACTTTGCCGGAGTGGTTAACGGGATCGCCTGCTATTTCTAGCTGCCAGCGGTTGTGCTTTGCACGCGAGTGTTCGAATCGCTCAGGTGACGCTTTTTGGCACCATCTATCACACGCGCGCCAACACACTGTGTAAAGCAATAAGCACGGCACGACGCGACGCGACTGCAGAGCTTCATGATCCAGACTTCGACACGACAGCCATGAACTCAAACAAGTATGCAAGCCTCCCCGACATAGTTCAGTCCGATCCACCCCTCTTTGATTCTGCTTATTGAACGCTGCATCTAAAGGATACAGCGCCTGATGTCTACGAGACTGAAGACGTCTTTCAGTCCAATAACACCGTGAGTCGTACTTGGCTTGTTGGCAGATTTACGTGATAGTAATGTGGTCTGCCAGAAAGAAGACTCGAGCGACGACGAGCAAGGCTCTTACTCCCGATCGCATGCAAGAGGACGGAATGGTGAACATGCTCGAGCTGATGAGCTCGATGCCAGTAGTCTGAACAAAGACGAGGCGAGCAAGAAATTCCGCAAGGCGGAGAATAGTGAGTTGTATCATATCTCCTTCAACGCGCACCAATCTTATGCTTCCTGAGGACAGGGCGACCCAGACCAAAAGTGCAGTATACATACCCAACTTCACCTACCTCCTCGGCATCGGGACGGGATTCACCATCGCAGCATTGGCCATCCTCGCAAAAGCTCTCTGTTTCGCAACGAATAGCGAAACTCAAAGCAGAAGTCAGCGCTTTGGAAGCTGAGCTTGCATCGAAAGACGAGTCGAAGGATAAGGATGATGAGCAGGCAAATCCGGGAGAGTTTATTCGCGAGCTGGCAGAGGTGAAGGCCCGTTTGAACAAAGCTGGGTCAAGTGGGAAGAAGGATGCTGCGCGAGCGAAGTTGGTGAACGCTGTTATGCACGACACAGATACGGAGAACGCCCCGAAGAGCTCGACAGCTGCAGGCGAGGAGAAGGAAACCCTTGGAGCAGAGGATCTCGAGAATGTTGATATGCTCACATTCACCGCCGACATTGATCGACGTTTGGGGACGCTTGAGAAAATCATTGGATCGTCCACGGCCGCCCTCGATGAGGTTCGTTATGGGTTTGTATGCACTCTGTCATTTGCTCACGAGAATCGATATAGACTTCTCCTTTGCTCCCTCCGCTTATGGTTACAGTCACTCGGTTGCACTCTATGCTCTCTCTTCTCTCCCAGCCACGGCACCTTGACAACGTCTCCCGCCGTCTGAAGCTCATACAGCCCGATTTGGAACGTACCTCAAATGCAAACGCCACCCACGCTCAGCAATCAGCCTCTGCATCGACTTCACAACGACGCCAATCGTCTGGCCATCCCCTTCATTCGTCAATCTCGTCTGCGAACGGCGTACCCACTGCGCCTGCACAGCCGACATCAGTCACCAGAAGTCAGCTCGAGCAACTCACACCCATCCTCACACGGCTGGCCCCCATACTACCGAACATACCTCACATCCTCACACGACTGCGATCACTTTCGGCACTGCACACCAACGCAGCTGCATTCCAGACAACGCTCGAACGTCTGGAGGAGCAGCAAGCAAAGGAACGCGCTGATCTTGCGGACCTGGAGAAGGCGTTGGAAGGCATTGAGAAGAGTATCAAGGACAACGAGGTCGTGGTGAGGAAGAACGTGGAGGGATTGGAGACACGCATAGATGGTGTGGTGAGACGTATAGAGGAGCTGGATGTGAATGACGAGAGCTCGCCGACCTCGTAGGGATTTGTTCGCGAAGAGATACATGTGCGTCGATTGAGATATACCCGTACCCTTTTCCTCTCACCACGCTATGGTTATGAATCTATCCCAATACTGAGGGGTGAACATCCCTGTAAGTCCATATATTAGCAAGTAATGCACGTACCGCGTATGACGTCGGCTGCTGCCGTCTACGATTTGAGGAAGCTGGAGGTTAGTTTAATTCGAATCACGTGACCGCGTTATGAGTGGTAATGGCATGGTTCACTTGACGACGGTTATCCTGAGTGCACGCCCCGTACGTCCCGTATGTCTCCCTCTTTGCATTGCCATTATTAACCTCACGCGGATCAGTTGTCTGCAGGCTGCATAAGTACGATCCGCACGATCTGCACTCCCTTGCCGCACCTGTTGTCTGTACGGCACTCGTAGTATCGCTCTTTGATACTAAGAGACGATTCGAAGAGTTTCATGCGTGACGGAGATCCCAAGAGGTGCTCTGCATTGATAGAAGGCTAGTGGTCACGGCGAGGATGCACGCCTTGGGCGTGTCAAACAGTTGGTATGTTTTCAGTTGACCATGTCTTAATATAAAAAAACGCATCCAACTATTTTATCGCAACAGGAGACAGCAAGGCGATACTGATGATTGGTATTCTATAGTACTGCAGCGAGTGAAACTACTCTCACCCACGGATGCAAGGCTAAGGAAAGCAACACCGAACAGCGGTTCACATCACAGGAGTAAGTAGGCAGGCACCGAGGGCCTCGATATCCAAGAGAGCATCCAAAATGCATGGTGGATAGACGGGCTAAGGGTTACGGCTTACGGCTACGGGTTTCAAGGCTTTTCAATGCAGAAGCTTCGAAGTCCAAGACGTGTACTCGGGGAAGCGCAGCAGCTTTTGTCGGAATGAAATCAGGCAAGCAAACCGCTAGCCGCAGCTCAGCCGTTAGAGGACTATTTAAGACCATGACACCGACCTACGGATATACCACCACTCCTACGGTCTATTCCATCTTCGTGATATTAGTATGGCTGTTAACACGCCTGCACGGCCCACACAGATTGTGCCGATGTGCGTACATCCAGCCCAGTTCCTCTATGACTGACAGCGCTGACAGAGAGCCGCACAGGCGTGTCTTGGCGGGAACCCCAGTACGCACAATGGCAGGTCCAGGAGGGGCGAAGAAGCCGCCTCCGCGACAAGCACCACCGTCCAGGCCAAACTCTAAACAGAACATAAAAACCCGGAAGGCGGCATAGGCCTAGCATACCACTCGATAATATCAGCGATGATGCACACAGAGAATGGCGACGAAATGCAGAGGTTCCGAATCATATTAGTACGGCAATTTCCTTGGCTTTGCAGAATACTTCCATGTCATAACCGACAGTGGTTAGATAGTGGTGACCGCATGTTTGTAAGGATGGTATCCGGAGGATATTCTACCAGAAATAATATGTGCAGGAGGCACTGAAGTTTCGGCATGAGACAAGGCGCACTGTACCCAAACTGGGAAGGCCCGATGATCGTAATGCGCACATTGACAGCTGCGCAATTGCCGCTCGCTATCCTTGCATCGTCCTTGACATCCACGAGAATGTATTCAGCATCGAGTATGACTATAAGTAAAGCTTCTATGCGTGCAGGCTGATTACTAAATGGCGAGTTTACCCCTTGGTGTCAAGCTAATTCGTATTTCTACGTAGATTTTACCTCGGGTCACTGTACCGACAGCTCAGAGCCGACCAATGGTGGAACGTCATTATCGGAGCAGGTAGTGATAATGCTGCGCTGAGTGGTCAGTGCAGTCACAGCGGGGACGTACTCTTCTACAATGACATTTTAATACAGGCCTCCGCCAGTCAGTATGGGCGTGTAACACGACTCGACGTCGCTTTGCTCAACGAGCATTTGGAATACCTGGCAAGACTAGACGTCGGCAGAGCTCGGTGTAGGTCTCTCCAGTGTATAAAAGACCGTTTGGACGACGGTAGAAAGCACAAACACACACTCCTCATCTCACATTCTCCTCCACAACCCACAATCGACCCACCTCATCTTGCACTCTCAAATCGTATATTTCACTCAGCTAGTCTATCCCGCAACTCTAATTCACTTGTCTACTCTCATTCGCTCTTCGTCTATCTCTACTACATATTAGTTTTCCTCTTTCTTTCTGATCACTTTTCTGTTCTCTTTATCACTCATCTAATTCCTAATGGCCAACGCTCCTCACGGTGGAATCCTCAAGGATCTCGTTGCTCGCGATGAGCCCATCCGTGCTGCCCTCAAGGCCGAAGCACAAACCATTTCTGATATCATTTTGACTGAGGTGAGTTTGCCCTTCACTCGCTTCGTTACAGTACTTTGATTATCCATGCAGCGCCAACTGTGTGATCTCGAGCTCATCCTCAATGGTGGATTCAGCCCCTTGGAGAGCTTCATGAACCAAGCCGATTATGACAGGTTCGTATTTATCTTCATGGTTGTAGTTAGACTTGACTGAGTGTTCACTATTTAACCAGTGTCGTGAATACTCTCCGTCTCGCCGACGGTGCCATCTTCGCCATGCCAATCACCCTCGACGTCTCCAAGGCTGACATTGAGAGCAAGAACATCGTGCCTGGTGCCCGCATCGCTCTTCGTGACCCTCGAGACGATGAGGCATTGGCCATCATTACCGTTGAAGACATCTACCAGCCGGACAAGGTTAAGGAGGCAATCAATGTGTTTGGTGCAGACGACCCTGCTCATCCTGCTGTTGCCTACCTGCGCAACAAGGTGAACGACTACTACGTCGGCGGCAAGCTGCAAGCCATTCAGCCGCCGACCCACTTCGATTACGTTGCTCTCCGATGTGAGTGCAATACTCTCAGAATATATCTGAGAGAGTTGATCTGACATGATGTGCTCGATAGATACTCCCGCCGAGCTGCGTGCTCACTTTGCCAAAGTCGCATGGCGCAAAGTCGTCGCATTCCAGACCCGGAACCCAATGCACAGAGCCCACCGCGAGCTCACTGTCCTCGCCGCCCGTCAGCGCCAGGCCAACGTACTCATTCACCCCGTCGTCGGCCTCACCAAGCCCGGCGACGTTGATCACTATACCCGCGTACGTGTCTACGAGGCGATCATGGCCAAATACCCGAATGGGATGGGTCATCTTGCGCTTCTGCCACTCGCGATGCGCATGGCTGGGCCCCGCGAGGCAGTGTGGCACGCAATTATCCGCAAGAACTACGGTGCGACGCACTTCATCGTCGGCCGTGATCACGCGGGTCCGGGCAAGAACTCGCAAGGGAAGGACTTCTATGGACCATACGACGCACAGGACCTC